ACAGAGGCGATGGCATAAGCCCGCTTATATAGCTTTTAAGCAAAGGAGCGGGCTAAAAATCACGCTATTTTAACGTTTATATGGCTTTGGTGGGTAGAAGCACCATCCACAATAATGTTTCTGATAATTTTTTATAGCAGCTTTGCAAGTTTTTTTAGCGAAGATATGGCCGAATAAAGGTACTGGTTCCGGTCGGGATTCCTGTTTTCTTCTCCCGGAGCCGAGACCGAATAGGGTCTGTTGCCTTACACTGTAAATCACAGTGTGATACTGACTGCACATTTTCTGTGATACAGGTATATGGCACGATGTTGTGATGATCATCGCAAAAAAAGTAGAAGAATAAATTCATTGCTTACATTTGTGATAACAATCACTTATTTGAGCGATACTTTGAGGTATCACAGTTTTTGAAATAAGCATCACACTGTTTTGCAATAAATCCAGAAATATCGCATTATTTTGCGATAAGTATCACACAATATTTGTGATAACAATTCATCATTCCCCCAGGAGTGATAAATCAAGGGAATCACACCGGGCATTTAATCACACGAAAATGTGTGAAAAGTATCACACTTTGAATTACAGTGTAGGCAGTTAGTTGAGGTGAGCCCACTGTTGATGACCCGACGAACCGCGTAGCCAGCTTAACTTTGCGTCGCTGACAACTTACTCGGCTCGGCCAGAAGCGGGCCGGTGAATGGGTCGGCAACTCCCCGCCTAGAGTAGGGTGAACTTGGCTCACTTTTGCATTTTGCACCCAGAAACACGTACCTTTGATTTAATGGGAAATTCCAAAGAATGGAGACAAGGGGATTTTGACAATGAATTAACGGAATTTGATTTCAACTTTCAATCAACGTGTTTCTTTTGATTGGCGGGGAGTGATCTCCGAGGCAACTCTCTGCCAAGATAAGTTGTCCAGACCTCTACCTACGCCTGCGGCGCTGACACCCGAGTCAGGCAGTACAGTACACAGTACACTCCGGTGATATTGTACCAAGAAAGCATTCCGGTAAAGCTGAAATGCTAAAGAACGCGGAGAAGAAGAAAACGGAAACCGCTATGCTTCAGGGTGGTGACTTCTGTTTTCTTGTTCTTCGCATTCTTCTGCATTTTAGCTTCACCGGGATGCTTTGGTCGAGTTCGTTCCACCCGGGTAAGGAACCGTCGTAAATAGGTCTCCGGACCAAAAAGTCACTAATTCTGCTCCCGAAAATTATATATTTACCAGCAACTCCACTGAAAACCGTAAAATATCTACGAAAAAACTAAAATGTTTTGGGGTCATTTCCGTGAAGAAAAGTACCTCTGGCGCATAAACGGTAAAAGACACCCAAACAGACGAAAGTTAGGTCCTATGACTTCTACTTTGACAAATTACCCCGTAGGACATCATACAAAAAGAATTC